TTTTTTTTTTTTTTTTTTTTTTTTTTAGAGAATAGAATCCGTAATGAACTTGTTTCCTTGTATGTGTGCATGATCCAATGTGTTAGCTATTGGTGTTTGACTGTGTGTTCTCGTTATAGAGAAAGTTTATTTGTATAGAGCTGGGGCTTAAGAGTTTTGTTGATGAGACGGTAATCTAGGTCATGACACCTCTAGTAGATTGGGCGCTTTAGGATGGTGAAAGATGATCATAGTACTTCAAAATTAAGAAAGACTCAATGAGTCAAAACAAAACAGCCTGGAATCAAAAACCCTCCTTAAGCTATCTAACCACCCTGGGAATCCAACAGGCCTCCTCGATTCTCAGATATCACTAAGGTGAAGTTTGAATTGTGGATTTATGTGCTTAGGTGATCGATAGGAATATCTCTCTAGCAAAACATGGATGAGAGAACTCAATTAAGACTAGGGCGCTATAGCTAGTGTGGTTTACATGTTGACCTAGGTTAGTATGTTTCCAGTAGACCTTGCATCCGAGGATCATGAGTGATGAGAGGTTTAGACCTGTGTATACCCAGAGATTGGTTTAGCCCGAGGAGCTAATCCCAAACGTCTTGGAAACGAGAGATGAGATTTAAACTACTTAGACGCCACTAAAGACCTAGATAACCATCCTGGCAACCGTGAAGAAAAATAAAGTTAGCTTGTAAGCCAATAGCAGTCGTATAGTGTTTACGGAGTTTCTACCTTCCTTTTCACTCCAATATGGTACCGTTGAGCTAAGTGTGAGGTTGGTTAGGGACGTGTGATCTGAGAAAGAGTTTGGTTGGATTACCTTGTGCGGTGGATCTATCTAGTGGGAGGACATTGATCATGCAAGTGTCATTAGAGCTTACTAGCATCCTTGACCTGCGACTACATGGCCTATGAGATGGGTTTACCAACTACCTTCTTTGGATGACAAGCAAGCTAGCACTCACCATGCTAATCCCATCTGTTAGAGAGTGTTCCTTAAGGTACCACCTCAACACCGGATACCGATTACCGCTGCGTAGGCTAAGTTAGCAACTCAAGATTGTGCATAGCAAAAGCANTTTTTGGGGTTTTTTTTTTTACTCACTCTTTTTTTTTTTTTTTTTTTTTTTTTTTTTTTTTTTTTATATATATATAGGTATTTTCATGCATCAATCAAGGTGGAGGAAAACTAAGCCTAACCTAAACGAAAACTAACCCATCCTTCATAGTTTTTTGGTTGATTCCCACTATGTGTCTAGTTATTGACCCACAAATGGAAAGAGAGACTTGTGGGAATTCAATTGCTGGAGAAGGTTTTGTGTATGAATATTCGGTCTTCTAGTTATTTAAGGACATATCATGAAGTGGCTGATGAAATTGATCAACTGGAGCCCTGGACGATTAGGAACTGCTATGTTATAGCATTCCGTACAAGTTAAGTCGATGTATTTGAGTATGTTGTGTTGAGGATGTTGGGAGGAAGTTCCACTTTTGCTAATTTATAGAATGATGATGAGTTTATAAGAAAGGAATACATATCCATTATTACGAGGTCTTTTGGGAAAATCCCAAATCAAAGCCATGAAAGCTTAGGCTCAAAGTAGACAAATATCATATCCTCGTGTAGATCCGTGATTCATAACATGTTGATCAAGTTTTGAAGCATTTGTATTCCACTATCGAAAATGACAACCACAAATAGATAATTAATATGAAATTTGATTTAAGATATAAAGATATTTGTAGAATATATTTTGTTGTATAACTCTAAAGTTATGTTATATATTTTATATAGTTGTAATAAGTATTTTTTTTTTCTTTTTTTTTTTTAATGGTGGAATCAACTAAATCCAAAATTTTGGACTTTCATTTAACACATCATTATTACATTCATTACTATTAAATCGGACAATTAAATTATTTGTTCTAATTAAATTAAATGGGACAATTACAAATCCTTGAGTAAATGAGATATGCAGTATGCATGCTCTTATTGCAAAAGAAAATTGGTTTCATTGATGACACAATTGAAGAACTATTCAAGATGCAAATTCAAAAGAATTTGAACTTTGGAAATGATGTAAAAGTATGATATTATCTTGGTTAACTCATTCAATTGAACTAGATATCGCTGAAGATATAATTCACGCGAAGACAACTCATCAAGTGTGGGTTGATCTTCACAATCAATTCTCACAAAAGAATGCTCAAACAATTTTTTAGATACAAAAGTCGATAGCAATGATGTCACGCATAACCATGGCACTGTCAGCATATTTCACCAAGCACAAAGCATTCTGGGATGAATTGGAAGCGCATCGCACACCATTTACCAGTAATCAACTCCAAATACATGTTGATCAATGTGAAGAAGATAAGTTGATGCAACTACTCATGGCTCAATGAGTCTTATAAGACAATGAGATCTAACATATTGATTGATGACTCCATTACCTAATGTGAGACAAGTCTATTCATTACTTGTACAAAAAGAGATGCAATGTTAGGTAACTTCTGAATCTACTGAGAATTTATCAATTTCAGTAGTAGTGCAGAAGAAGATAACATATTCAAAATTCATCAAGAACAAATCATGTGAACAATGCAATAGAATTGGTCATAGAATTGATGAGTGTTGAACCGTAATTTTCTCTGTAAATTTTGTGATAAAAGTGGACATACAAAATATCGATGTCGACAGAAAAATAATTACGGAAAGGCAGTACAAGTCAATCAACATAGCAATCGTGGATATCGATCATCTACAAATATGGCTAATGCTTCTCAACTGAATACAAAAGAACAGTCACCTAATTCCATTCCAAAATTTTCTTTTGAGCAGTTGCAATAGATAGCACAAGCCTTATCTACACTCAATCCTCGTTCTTCTGGTAATTCTGATAATTACATCAATGTGCAGGTTTGTTTCCAATATTTGCATTATCCATTAACTCTGCTAGGTCTAATTCATGGATTCTCTATAGTGGAGATACGGATCATATAATATCCAAAGCTTCTGTTATAACTGAACTAAAGGTTACCATCATTTCTACAATAAATTTTCCTAAATGAGGGATAGCACATGTGTCACATACTGACAATGTTTCTCTTAATCCTGACCTTAAATTAAACAATGTTTTGAATGCCTTCATTCAATTTAAATCGGATGTCCATCAGCAAAGTTACCAATGATTTGAAATATTGTGTCACCTTCTATCTTGATTCTTGTGTTATGCAAGACTTGGCTACGGAGAAGATGATTGGCTCGGGTGAACAAGTCGGAGGTCTCTATCATATTTTTTCATCTCTAATCAAATCTTTAGCTTATCAAGTA